AATTTCAAAATCTAAAGTTTGCATTTGTCATAGAGAAAGGAAAAAAGCAAGAGAGAGGGAGAGGAAGAGAAAGAGAGAGAGAGGGAGAGAGGGAGGGAGGGAGATATATATTCAAATACCATTTGATTTAAATTATTTTTTTTATGCTAACAAGTGAAATTGAACGACAACTAAACATTGGGCAAATTTTTTGTGTATCTATTATCTTTCAACATTTTTTTTTTTTTTTTTTAAGATGTGTATTACCTTTCTTTTGTTATTATTATCGAGTGGTTTTGAAAAAAAAAAAATGAAAAGAATTCTTTCATTTCATTTTTTTTTTTTTTTTTTCTGAAACATAAAATTGATTAGTTAAAATATAAGTTTCATTTAGAAATTTAATTTTTTTTTTTTTTTATAATTATTAATGACTTACCGATTATTTATTTATTTAATCTTTTAACATATTTTATAAGTAGTATCATTTTTTCTAGCATTATTATCGAGTGGTTTTGAAAACAATTTCATTTCATTTTTTTTTTTTTTTTTGTTTCTGAAACATAAAATTGATTAGTTAAAATATAAGTTTCATTTAGGAATTTAATTTTTTTTTTTATAATTATTAATGACTTACCGATTACTTATTTACTTTTTTTTTTTTTTTTTTCAAATGTAAACTATCTCTTCATGATTAATTTCATTACCAATCATTTACCCGCAATTTTCTGATCATATCATCATCATTTTGACATAACTACTGGTAGCAATCACAATTAACCATTTTTTAAAATTAATTAATTTTTCTTCCCTTTTCCTTCTTTCCTTCCTTCTTTCTTTTTTTCTTTAATTTTTTTTTTAAAATTAAAATTTCTTTTCCCTCATCATATTTTATTCATTTAAATTAAGTGCAAAAATTAAAATGCATTAGTTAGTCGATAATAAATGATAAAAATGTGTGAAATTAAAGAAAAGAGAAAAACACTTTTTTTTTTTTTTTTCAATTTTTGTATTTCCAATATTTCAAATTAATTTTTAGTAGCTAATTTACACATGTAACTTTATTACTTTGTCAATATTTTACAATTTTTATGTCAAATTTTTTTTTTTTTTAAGATATAATTAATTTCTACTTTAGCTATTTTTACATTTATTAAACTTATATCTCATTGATATTAACATATTTTTCTTTTTTTTTTTTTTTATTTAAAAAAAAAGATAAATTTAAAATAATACTAATAAATTGCAAATAGCAAATGAATAAATAGCAAAAATTAGTGAATAGCTAACATATGTGATACATTTTTCTTTTTTTTTTCATTTTTTTTTTTTTTTTTTATAAAATAAAATGCATGATAATAATGCAAATAAAGCAAAATGAATATTTAAAAATATATATATTTTTTTTTTGAAAATAAAAAATTCAAATATTTCATATTAAAAATTGATTTTTTAATAAAAAAAATTTAAATCAAATTACATGAAATGCAATTTGATTAAAAATTAAATTTTTACCATATTAAAAGAAAGAATGAAAAAAAAAAAGAGAAAATGAAAATGTCAATTTAATAGTATATTATAAGAATTTGATATTATCTAATAATAAGCTAAATTGCTAATAAATAATTCCAATTAATTTCAATTATTTATTATATTAATTAAGAAAAAAAAAAAAAAAAGAAAAAATTGACGTAATCGAAATCAGGTCTACTGTAATTTAATATCAGGTCATTTCATTCTATTTACATAATTCAAACTCAAATTACTCTTAAAATGTTGCAAATTCTTTTTCATTCATTCATCTCTCTCTATTCTCTTTCATTCTATCATTTAAAAAAAAAAAAAAAATTTTTTTTTTTCAAAGAAAAAACAACAACAACAAAAAAGAGAGAGAGAAGAGAGAGGGGAGAGAGAAGAAAAATATTTCAATTTGATGATAATCAAAATCAATAAATGAAATCATTTTAGTGTTTTTTTAATGCTTTTTTTTTCATTTTTCTTCTTCAAAAAAAAAAGAAAAAATAAACTTTTTAACTTACTTTTTTTTTAATTCATAGACAAAGTAAATTTTCCAAAAAAAAAAGAAGAAAAAATTTATTATTTTGACCCAAAATTATTTTGTTTCATATCAAAATTCAACCCCAAATCATATCATTTCAAATCTAAAATGTTTGAAAAAGAAAAAAGAAAAGAATTGAAGCGGGGCGGAAAGCATTGATGATAATTTATTGTGCGCAATCAACAATTGGCGCATTTGAAATTTTTAGAAATGAAAAATTGTAGAATGTAAGCCACACCTTCAATCATTTAGATATATTCTTTATTTTATTTTATTTTATTTTTTTTTTTAATTCTTCTTATACTACTAATCATCATTTATACACCCTCTTCTCCTTTTCTCTCTCTCTCCCTCTCCCTCTCTTTCTCTCTCTCTCTCTCTTCAAATTTTCTATATTTGCCATTATCAAATTCTTCTTTTAACATTTGTTTTAGGTTTATGAGTAGGTAGAAGTGAAGAAATTATGGAATAATGAACAGTTGAAAAAAAAAAAAAAAAAAATTTAACGGTTAAGTTGAACGCTTTTTTTTCTCTCTCTCTCTCTCCATTCCTCTCTCTCTCTCTCTCTCTTTCTTAATTTGACAATTAACAATTGTAAGCTAAATGATTACCGTTTCATTTCAAATTATTTCATTTCATTTCCTGTTTGATACTCTTAAATCACTTTTTTTTCTCTTTCTCCTTCTCTCCCTCTCTCTCTCTCTCTCTCTGTCCCTTTCTCACTGATTTTCTTTGTTTTTTCATCTTTTTCCCTTTGTTGCAGTAAGCTTTTTCGGATTATTTATGTATATTTTCTATTAATTAATTAATATTTGTTAATTACTTCCGATTTTGAAGATTTTTCAAATATATTAGCATAAATGATGATAATACTGATAACACTGATAACATTGATAACACTGATAACGTTAAATAATATCAATAGCAAACATAGATATTTAATTAGATCATATGTAATTGCATCAGATCATTTTTGTTTTGTTTTTATTTATTTATTTATTTTTGGACCTAACAAAGAATTTAATGATTAGGTAAACAAAATTCATAACTACTATATTCATTGTAAGCATTATTATCACCTCAAATTATCACCAATATCACTACACTTTTTTTTTTTTTTTTGTTTTTATTTAAATTGTTTATTACAATTTCTTGTTGACATTAAAAATTTTTTCTATTTTATTATTTGCTTCTTTATTTACTGTTAATTGCTAACATCATTGTTATGCTATTTTATACGATATTATTGCAATGTTTTATCATTATCATATCATATCTTTTTTTAAATTATCATTATCATATCATGTCTTTTTTAAATTATCATTATCATATCATGTCTTTTTTAAATTATCATTATCATATCATGTCTTTTTAAATTATCATTATCATATCATGTCTTTTTTAAATTATCATTATCATATCATGTCTTTTTTAAATTATCATTATCATATCATGTCTTTTTTAAATTATCATTATCATATCATGTCTTTTTAAATTATCATTATATCATATCTTTTTTAAATTATCATTATCATATCATGTCTTTTTTAAATTATCATTATCATATCATGTCTTTTTTAAATTATCATTATCATATCATATTTTTTTAATTATCATTATCATATCATGTCTTTTTTAAATTATCATTATCATATCATATCTTTTTAAAATTATCATTATCATATCATGTCTTTTTTAAATTATCATTATCATATCATGTCTTTTTAAATTATCATTATCATATCATGTCTTTTTTAAATTATCATTATCATATCATGTCTTTTTAAATTATCATTATCATATCATGTCTTTTTTAATTATCATTATCATATCATATCTTTTTTAATTATTATTACCACATCATATCTTTTTAATTATCATTATCATATCATATCGTTTTTAATTATCATTCTCATATCATATTTTTTTAATTATTATTACCACATCATATCTTTTTAATTATCATTATCATATCATATTTTTTAATTTTTTTTTTTTTTTTTAAATCTGTACTACTCATAAAATTTTAAAATGCAGAAAAAAAATATAAGAAAATAGAAAGGACAAAAAATTGATACTTTTGCAATTTCATTAGCATAATGTGTAAACAATTTATGTTTAATTATTTTTTTTTTTTTTCAATTCTTCCTATTTTTTTTCTTACTTTTTTATGAAAAATGACAAAAAATTAAGAAAAAAAAAGGAATAAAGTTGAATTTGAAGTAATAATTTAATTTTTTAAAATTATATTTTTAAATGATTGAATTACTAAAGCGCATCTAATTGTTTTTTTTTTTTCACTATCAAATTAATTAATTAATTTCAATGATTTATTTCATATATTAAAATTAATGTATTCGCATTTAATTAGCATATTTTTTTTTTTTTTTTTTTTTTGCATATCGACGCTATTTTGTATAATATTAATTTTAAAAAATTAATAATCATATTTAAATATTTTTTTTTTTATTCAAATTTTTTTCAGGCTAACTATTTGATCGATGATGTTAAATGAAAAATTTCAACGATTTCATTGCAGTTAACAATTTTTGCAAATTTTAAGTGGAACATTTTCGGTACATTTGGTACTTCAACCTAAATGCTATAATTATAATTATCATTGGACAATTTCAAAAAACGAAAGATAATAATTCAAATTTTTTTTTAAAAAAAAAAAAGAAACGAAGAGAAAGAAAAAAAAAGAAAAACGAAATAAGGAAAAATTCGATATAAAATATTTGAAAAAAAAAAAAAAAATGGAAGTACATCAATCACTTCCGGCACGATATTTGCATAATCCATATTTGGTGAAAACAGAAACAACATTACAACAACAACAACAACAACAACAACAACAACAACAACAACAACAACAACAACAACAACAAATTCTTCCACCTCAAGCAATAGTGGTAACGGTAACTGCAACAAATCAACAATCAACTTCATCCGGTGTTTCCGAATCATGTTCCCTGCCATCATCATCATCATCGTCATCGTCATCATTGTCATCATCATCGTCATCATCATCATCAAATCATCATCAGTAACATCCAATCAGCATACAACGACGCATACGGTAGATGCAACAAACAGCAATAGTAATAGAAATAATGTCAACAATAACAGCAGTAACAATATCGATGATAATAACAATGAAAACAATAACAATAGCAACAATACGATCACTAATATACAACGACAACAACAATCTGGCAATGGAGCTGGTAAATATTATAAATTGCTTAATCAAAACAAAGAAAAAAAAAAATTCAGTGATAATTTTAATAGCAATTAAAAATAGATTTTTGAAGTGAAATGTAAATAAATTTTTTAACTGAAATTTAAATTAATAAAATTTAGCATAAAAAATAATTTACAGTAAAAAAAAAAATTTGATAAAGTGTTGTTGATTATTTATGTGATTTATTGATGAAATAATTATTTTAGCTAACATTATTAAATTATGCATTTGAAATAAAATTTGAGTAATACTTAAGTTTTAACTTTTGATAAAATTAATTAAGTCATTAATTTTAGATTAGTTTAAAAAGAACTTTAAATTTTTTTTTTTTTTTTTTTTTTAACCTCAAAATTAACAATTGGAAAACAAATGTGCAAATAATAGGAAAAATTAGACGAAATGATAATTTTGATAATTTGATATTCGAATTTCAATCCAATCTTTAAAATTTGATAGTTTGCTATTTTAAATGTGATAATTTGATATTTGGAATTTGATATACCTAAAAATAATTTAGCAAACAAAAATTAACAAAACCTCTTCTCATCCTTTCATTATCACTTATTTTTGTGACAAATTTTTTCTCATTTTTACTAATATTTTTTTTTTGGTTCAAATTTACAACTACAAAAATTAGAATTCAAAATTATTTTATTTAAGTTAATTTTGTCCAAAAAAAAAAGGAGAGAAATTTATGTAGTATTAATAATTTAAAAATTTTTGTAATAATACAAAAAAAAAATGTTAAAAAGTAAAGAAAAGCAAATAAATTAGATTAAATGAATTTTTCAAGCAAAATTTTACGTTTTTTTTTTTTTGTTGTAAATTACGTAACAAAGAAAAAAGCAATAAATTATAATATACGTAGAATTAACGTCAAATTTCACGCATATAAATTTATTATTTAAATATATTTTATAATCTAATTGTTATTTAATTATGATGTAATACCAAAAATGAAAATTTAATAAATAGAAATTAAATTTGTTATTTAGGTATATAAAATGGTGTAATTGTTGTTTACTTATGATATAACATCAAAAAATAAAAATTAAATTTATTGTTTAAATATATAATAGTGTGAATTGTTGTTTACTAATGACATAATGCCAGAAAATTAAAAATTAAATTTATTGTTTAAATATATAAAATATGTAATTGTTGTTTACTTATGGCAAATTAAATTTATTGTTTAAATATATAATAGTGTGAATTGTTGTTTACCTATGATATAATACCAAAAAATTAAAAATTAAATTTATTGTTTAAAATATAAAATATGCAATTGTTGTTTACTTATTGCAAATTAAATTTATTCTTTAAATAGTGTGAATTGTTGTTTACTTATGATAAAATACCAAAAAATTAAAAATTATATAAAAATTAACTTTATTGATTAAGTATATAGAATATGTAATTTTTGTTTACTTATGGTAAATTAAATTTATTGTTTAAATATATAATACTGTAAATTTGTTGTTGAATTATGTTATAATACCAAAAAATTAAATAAAAATTAAATTTATTGTTTAAATATATAAAATATGTAATTGCTGTTTACTTATGATAAATTAAATTTGTTGTTTAAATATAAAATAGTATGAAATTGTTATTTAATTATAATATAATACCAAAAAATGAAATATCCTTTTGGGAAATAAATTAATCATTTTTAAATGGTAAACAACCTTTATTACTTTTTTTTTTAATTAATTAATTAATGAATGATTGTTTTTTGTTTAGTAGTAAGAACAGATTATCGGTTATACGGACATGACATAACTACAGCTTCTGCTACACCAACAACAACAAATACTCATCCATCATCATCGTCATCAGCATCAGTATCAGTATCAGCAGCAGCAGCATCTAATATTCATCAAAATGGTTATTTATTTTTGTAAACATAACCTTTCTATGTAAACAATCATATACCGGAATATAATCCGTTACGGATACGGATAAATAAACTACATGAATGCACTTTATAGTGATGTATTTTTTACATAAATAAAAAATATGCATAAAATAAATATATTTTTTTTTTTTCACTTTAAGAATTTCATTTTTACTTTCTTTCCTTTTCCTTTTTTTTTTTTTTTTTTTCTAAATTCAATTTGTATTGGAAAAATAATTTTTTAATTTGTTATTTTGATAAAATTTCTTTCCTTTTCATTTCTTAATTTCATATTAATTAAATTTAATTCATTAATAAAGTATTAATTTTTTTATCGTTTTTTTCTTTTTTATTGGGTAAATAAGTAAACGAAAAAAAAATTAGTAAAAGTTGAAGTAATTGTTTATGTTATTCAATTTTATATAAAATCAAATTCAAATCAAATATTATTATCAATTATTATTTGATTTGCATTACAAATTAATACAAAATTAAGCCAAAATATATTCAATAATTTTATTTTTTCATTTAAATTTTTTCAGTAATTAATTTAATTTAATTTAATTATTACTTTTTATTTTAGGAAGGCCATTAACAGCTGATCGTAAACGACCATATAATTGCAATATGTGCTCATCACGATTTGGCTCTAAAATGGAACTTGAAGAACATCAAAATTCACATACTGGCGAGAAACCATTCGAATGCAATGTATTTTTATTTATTTATTTATTTATTTGTTTATTCATTTTCTTTTTTAATAAACAATTTTTTTATATAAATTATAAACATTTAATTTCATATATAACATTCAATTTCTTAAATATAACACAAAAATTATTAACATTTTAATAAAATAAGTAGAATAGAATATTTTGTTATTTGATTATATCAGTCTCTTCTAATCATTCCATACTTAAATATATTATCATAATGTCGGATTTTTGATTGATTAAATATGCATTGAGTTGAAAAAATTATTACAACAACAATAACAATAATAGCGACAACAAAAACAACAACAACAGCTTAAACAATAACAATGACACTATTAATAATATCAAAAATATACTTATTTACATTTTGTTATTAACATTTTAATATAATTAGAATTCAATGTTTTTGTTATTTTGATTATATCAGATCAATCATTTCATATTTAAATATACATTAAGTTGAATAAATTATTTTAAAAATTAAAAATTTGATTAATTATACATTATTAACTTGAATAAACACAAATATGTTTAAAAATTAAAAATTTGATTAAATATATATTGAATTGAATAAAATTATTTGCTGAAATTAAAAAATTGATTAAATATACATTAACTTGAAAAATTTATTGCTGCAACAATAACAATAATAGCAACAACAATAACAACAAAAATGACATTATTAATAATATCACAAATGTACTAATTTAATTTAATCTAATCTAATCTAAATTTCATTCAAATTATAACTTTCTTCTTCATCGTAATCATATGTCGATTAAATATACAATGCATTGAATAAATTATTTTAAAAATTAAAAAAATTTGATTAAAATATACTACTGAGTTAAAAAATTATTACTATAACAATAATAGCAACAACAGTAACAATAACAATAACACTGTTAGTAACATCACAAATATACCTTCTAATTTAATCTAATTTAATTTAATTTAATTTAATCTAATCTAATCTAAATTTCATTCAAATTACAATTTCTTCTTCATCGTAATCATATGTCGATTAAATATACAATGGATTGAATAAATTATTTTAAAAATTAAAAAATTGATTAAAATATACTACTGAGTTGAAAAATTATTACTATAACAATAATAGCAACAACAATAACAACAACAATGACATTATTAGTAACATCACAAATATACCTTCTAATCTAATTTAATTTAATTTAATTTAATCTAAGTTTCATTCAAATTACAACTTCCTCTTCATCGTAATCATATGTCGATTAAATATACAATGCATTGAATAAATTATTTTAAAAATTAAAAAAATTGATTAAAATATACTACTGAGTTGAAAATTATTACTATAACAATAATAGCAACAACAATAACAACAACAATGACATTATTAGTAACATCACAAATATACTAATCTAATTTAATTTAATTTAATCTAAGTTTCATTCAAATTACAACTTCCTCTTCATCGTAATCATATGTCATTGTTGTGTAACAAATAAATCATAATAAATTTTGTGTAATACATTAAGCTTTCAAGTTGTAAAATTTTTGTTGCCAAAAGTTCAAATTTTACTAATTAATATTACACTTAAGTAACATTTAAATGAAGAAAATAATAATAAGAAAAAAAAAAAAAAGGAAAGAAATAAAAGAGAAATTATTAAATAATAATTATATACAAACCTGATTTCATACAATTTTTATATTTCATTTAAATTTATGAAATAAACAAGAGCAAAACAAATGAAACAAAAAAAAAAAAAAAAAGAAAAGAAAAGTTAATAAATAAAATTTAAAATAATTTGAATTCATTTTGTTATAAAATTTTCCAAATATATGAAAAGTTTGATAATTTCATTAATTTCTAAAAATTATAGCTGAAAAAAAAAATTTTTTTTCTTCATTGTTTAAAATAAATAAATAAACAAACAAACAGCAAACTATAAACAGAACTGGAATTTAGATTTTACTGTTAAAATGTTTTTTTTTTTTTTTTTTTTTTTTTTTTTTTTAAATGAATTTATTTTATTTTTTATTTATAGTTACAATTAAAAAAAAATATTTTTTATCATAATTAAAAAAAAAAAATAAATAAATAAACAGCAAACTATAAATAAAATTGAAACTTAAATTTTACTATTAAAATATTTTCTTGCATAAATTTCTTTCATTCCTAAATTACAGTTAAAAATTATAATTGAAAAAATTTTTCATCATTAGCTAAAAAAAAAAGTAAATAAATAAAATTAAGCTTTAAATACAAATTGAAATTTAGATTTCACTATTAAAATATTTTCTTAAATGAATTTTCTTTTATTTCTTAGTCACAGTTAAAAAATTATAATTAAAAAAAAAAAAAAAAAAATTTTTTTCATCAAATAAATAAAAGTTTAAAAAAAAAATAAAGAAATAAAAGTTTAAAAAATAAATAAACAAATCAAAATCAAGTCATAAATGGAATTGAAACTTAATTTTTGCTATTAAAATTTTTTCTTAAATTTCATTTTTTAAATTATAATTAAAAAAAAAAATTTTTTCTTTCATCATAGTTAAAAAAGAATAAATAAAATAAGTAAAATCAAAAACTATAAACGCTAAAAAATAGAATTGAAGCTTAATTTTTGCAATTAAAAGTAATTGCTTAAATTTCATTTATAATTAAAAATATTCTTAAATTTCATTTCTAAATTATAATTTTTTCATCATAGTTAAAAATAAAATAAGTAAAATCAAAAAAAAAAAAAAAAAAAAAACTATAATTGTTTTTGTTTTTGTTTGTTTATTTATTTTTTTTTAAATGTAATAATTTTCATTTCATAAATTTTATTTTTTCTTTTATAAATAATTAAATAAAATAATTTATTACAGATGTGTAAAGCACGATTTAATCGTCGTTCAACGCTTTGGAATCATAAACGAATTCATTCGGATGATAAACCATTTGAGTGCAATGTATGTCGGATGACATTTAAATGGAAGAATTCATTGAAATGTCACAAAGAGATGCATCAACGAAAAAATGAAATGACAGGAATTGAAAATGATCCATTGGAAAAGACACTTACTTATGCGACAGCAGCTAAACGACGACATGTTCGTTTTCATTAAACTTTAATATCTTTCATTTAAATTTAAGCGTGAACGAAAAATGAGAAAAGAAAATGTTAGAGTGAGAAAAAGAAGAAAAGATAAAGTAAACAAATTAAACTAATTAAGTAAAATTGATAAATAATTAATAATAATGATAATAAGTTTAGTGAAATTAACAATTAATTAAGAGTGAGATTAGTAATGATGGTGATAAGTTAAGTAAATTACTAATTAATTAGTGATAAGGTTATTGATAATGATAATAAGTTAAGTGAAATTAGTGATTAATTAATAATAATGATAAGCTAAAATAAATTAATAATTAATAATGATAAAAAGTTAAGTAAAATTCATAAGTAATAATAATAATAAGATTAATGATAATAAGTTTAGTGAAATTAACAATTAATTAAGAGTGGGATTAGTAATGATGGTGATAAGTTAAGTAAATTACTAATTAATTAATGATAGGATTAATTATAATGATAATAAGTTTAATGAAATTAATGATTAATTAATAATAATGATAAGCTAAAATAAATTAATAATTATTAATGATAAAAAGTTAAGTAAAATTAATAAGTAATAATAATAATAAGATTAATGATAATAAGTTTAGTGAAATTAACAATTAATTAAGAGTGGGATTAGTAATGATGGTGATAAGTTAGTAAATTACCAATTAATAATGATAGGATTAATTATAATGATAATAAGTTCAGTGAAATTAATGATTAATTAATAATAATGATAAGCTAAAATAATTAATAATTATTAATGATAAAAGTTAAGTAAAATTAATAAGTAATAATAATAATAAGATTAATGATAATAAGTTTAGTGAAATTAACAATTAATTAAGAGTGGGATTAGTAATGATGATGATAAGTTAAGTAAATTACCAATTAATTAATGATAGGATTAATTATAATGATAATAAGTTCAGTGAAATTAACAATTAATTAAGAGTGAGATTAGTAATGATGGTGATAAGTTAAGTAAATTACTAATTAATTAGTGATAAGGTTATTAATAATGATAATAAGTTTAGTGAAATTAGTGATTAATTAATAATAATGATAAGCTAAATAAATTAATAATTATTAATGATAAAAAGTTAAGTAAAATTAATAAGTAATAATAATAATAAGATTAATGATAATAAGTTTAGTGAAATTAACAATTAATTAAGAGTGAGATTAGTAATGATGGTGATAAGTTAAGTAAATTACTAATTAATTAATGATAAGATTAATGATAATGATAATAAGTTAAGTGAAATTAGTGATTAATTAATAATAATGATAAGCTAAAATAAATTAATAATTAATAATGATAAAAAGTTAAGTAAAATTCATAAGTAATAATAATAATAAGATTAATGATAATAAGTTTAGTGAAATTAACAATTAATTAAGAGTGAAATAAGTAATAATGATGAAAAGTTAAGTAAATTACTAATTAATTAATGATAGGATTAATTATAATGATAATAAGTTTAGTGAAATTATAATTAATTAATAATAATGATAAGCTAAAATAAATTAATAATTAATGATAATGATAAAATGTTAAGTAAATTACTAATAAGTATAGTGAAATTAATAATTAATTAATAATAATGATAAAAAGTTAAGTAACTTACTAATTAATCAATGATAAGATTATTACTAATGGTAATAAGTTAAAGGAAATTAATAATTAATTGATAATAATGATAAGCTAAAATAAACTAATAATTGAAAGTTGAGCAAAATTAATAATAATGATAATAAGTTAGGTGAAATTAATAATTAATTAAGAGTAGAATTAATAATGATGGTAAGTTAAGTAAGTTACTAATTAATTAATGATAATGATAAGAAATTAAGTAAATTAATAATTAATTAATAATAACCATTTGCTGATCAAATTATTAGTTATTTATAAAATTATTTGCTTTTATATCTGCTAAAATTTATATTAATGATAATATTTAACTTTTGACATTTTGAATAATCTTATTAGCATAAAATTAATTATTATTAAATGAATTACTTTGTAAATGATAAAAAAAATTATTGGAATAATTGGGTAAGTATTACTTATAAGTATTAATAAGTATTAAAAAGTATTACTTACAGTATTACTAAAAATTATTACTTATAGTATTAAAAAAGTATTACTTTTTCTGCAACAATTAAATTTTCTCAGTTATTATATCAAAATTTTTTTTTTTAAATATCAAATTTTTATTCGTATTTTTTCTTCCTTCTTTTTTTTTTTTGCATAAAAGTTTCTTTAAGTAATGTAAAAAGTTTGAAAAAAAGAAATGGAAAGAGCAAATAAAAGCACATTTATACTTAATTACATTATCAGAATTTAATCAGTAATCATTTGATTAATTTTTTCTAAATCATTTTTTAATAGTCAATAAAAAAAAAACTATTTTTTTTTTTTTTTAATCACAAAATATTCTATTTGAAAAATTTTTGGTGTAAATTTTTTTTAGAAAAATATTTATATTAAAATAATAATAATAATTGCATAATTATTAATATAAACTTCTTACTTTCGTTCTTCTTTTTTTTTTTTCATTTTTAAATTTATGATAAATTTAAATTTAAAATTTCAAATGAAATAATTTTTCTAATTTTTTTTAGCTGGAAAATCATGATATTATAAATGCAAGTTCAAGTTCAGAAACAGGAATGGGTAGTATCCGTTTGACAACAAGTTCAGCAAGTGGCATTGGTCATTTGACAGGTTCAGGAAGGCGACGCAATGCCAAATTATCAGTGCATTCAAGATCGATCTTATCAACTGGCACTGATCTTATCATTGGTACTGCAAATATCACAAATAATCCTAATCGAAACAATAATACAATCAATACTACTACTACTACAACAACCAATAACAACAATAACAATAACAATAACAACAACAACAATAACAATTCAAATCATTCATCTCTTATTGGTTCAAATGATGCATTTATTCATGCACCATTACAAGCGGTAAGAAATATTTTTTTTTTGTTTTTTCTTTTTTTTTAAATTTCAAAAACGAAAATTTCATTTTTTTTAAAACATAAAATTAAATTTATTTCATATTCAAAAAAAAAAAAAAAAAGGAAAAATATTTTTATTTTTTTTGATCAATGATAAAATATTAAATTTATTTTTTTTAGCTATTTTTCAATATTAAATATTATAAATTTCAATATGAAATTTTTGCAATATATTTTAGCTAATAAAATAAATATATTTTTTTTTTAATTGGAAATGATATTATTTTGTTAATAATTGTAATTTTAATGATTTAAAGTTTTTTTTTTGGTTTTTAAATAAAAAAAAAAAATGATTGTTTTGTTTTCTTTTTTTTTTTTGCTAAAATTAATTAAACAAAATAGAATAGCTTTTGCTAGATGAAAAGAAGTAAGAATATAAGTTTTTATGTTTAGAATATTTATATTTAAAATTTATATTTATTAATATGATTTATAATTATTTTGCTTCTGAAATATTATTTCTGGTAGTATTTATCAAAAAATTACATTTTAAAATAAAGTAAAAATAAAAATAATTTTTTTAAATAATACATTTTTCCCATTCTTAAATTAATTAATTAATTGAAATGGTAAAAGAACTTATTTTTCAACAGTCATCATTACTTAACGATCAACTTTGCTAATTAATAAGTTAGTAAGATGAATTGATTGATTACTTACTTACTTACTTCCTTACTTAGTTACTTACTTATGTCCTATATTTTCAACAAATTTTATTGACAGAAATGAATCCTTTCTACCCTTTTTTCTCTTTTTTGGTTTTATTACAACAACCTGGAATTTACCTGTATTCTTTGTTATTATTATTACTTTTTTTGCATCATTTTCATTAGCACAAAGAAATGGTTATAAAAGACAAAAAACTTTTATCAAATGATATTTTTAAAATATTAGCATGTAATAGGCTCAAAATAAAATGTAAACAAAAATTGAAATTGTAAACAAAATTTAAAAAAAAAAAGTTTTTTTTTTTGTTAGTATTAAAATTTTAATTTATAATAATAATAATTTAAAAAAAATAAAAATAATAAACAAAAAAAAGAAAAGTTTTTTTTTTGTTAGTATTAAAATTTAATTTATAATAATTTAAAATAAAAATAAGCATTTATTATTAAATAAATTATAATAACTTTAAAAATTCTTATTTTTTTTTCTTCCCTTCTTGCATTTAATTTTGTTTAATTTAACGAAAAAAAAAAAAGGTCACATTTCTCTCTCTCTCTCTCTCTCACTAATTTCTTGTTTTATCACATTCCTTATCAATTAATCATTTACCCATCGTCATACTGTCATTTTAGTATTGCTAAAAAAAAAAAAAAAAAGGAAAGAAAAGAATTCTTAAATATTTTCCTTTATTTATTTATTTATTTGAAATCTATCAAATTTTTTAAATTGATAAATTTGTTTATTTTTTATCATTTAAATTTATAAATATTTAAAAAAAAAATTTCAGGATGGTTTCTTTAATATTCAAAAGATATTATCAATAAATGATCATAAAGAATTGAATTCAATTATTTATTTATTTGAAATCTGTCAAATTTTTTAAATTGATAAATTTGTTTATTTTTTATTATTTAAATTTATAAATATTTAAAACAAAAATTTTTTTTTCAGGATGGTTTCTTTAGTAGTCAAAAGACATTATCAATAAGTGATCATAAAGAATTGGATTCATTATTAAATAGTACCACACGTTTAACATCAATGCTTAAAGATGATTCAGCATTTAAAACTAATTTATGGTTTGTAATTTTTACTTTTTTTTTAAAAAAAAAAATTAAAAAATATTTTTAAATGAAAAACAAACAAACATTTCATTGATGTATATATATTACTAGTAAACAATGCTATTTGTCTTTTTTTAATGTATAATTCAAAAAATTAAATGAGTTATATTACTTTGCTAAAAATTTCTTAGTTTTATTTTTTTTTCCTTCTAAAATTTAAATTTAAAATTTTGATTAGTATAGTTTATCAGTTGCATATTCAATAGATTATATAAAAAATATATATAAAATAAATAAGTAAGTTATTTACTTTTTTCATTAGTTATTATTAAATAATATTTTTTTTTTTTTTAAATTAATGCAAAAAGAAAGAAAAAATGGGAATTTAGTGAAAACTATTCTGAATAAATAAATAAAATAGTATTTCTTGTTTTTTCAATTTATTAGTTTTTTAAAAAAAAAATTAGGTGCAAAATTTTGAAATGGATTTATTTTTTATTTGAAAAAAGTACTGAAATTAGTAGAACGATACTGAAATTAGTAGAAAGATTTTGATTTAAAATTAAAATTAAAAAAGTAATTTTTAAAATTATATTCTAATGAGAGCAATTAGAAAGAAGAAAGTAAATAATTTTTTATTTAAATTTTCTTTTTATTAATTACTAATTTTTCAGCGATGATTTAGCAAATTTGGGAAATCAAAGTAATACATTTGATACAAAACAAGAAATGAATGTAAGTTCTTTTTTTTCAATTCTAAAAAAAAAAATTAATTTTTAAAAACGAAAAATAAAAGTAAAAAAGAATGAAGCAGAATTGATAAATTTAACTTTGTCATAAAGAAGACATGAATAAATTTTGATAATTTAAAATTCACTTTAAAAATGAAATTGAAATTATTTAACTTTGTCATAAAGAAGACATGAATAAATTTGATAACTTAAAATTCACTTTAAAAATGAAATTGAAATTATTTAACTTTTTCATAAAGAAGACTTGAAAATTTTGACAATTTAAAATTCACTTTAAAAATGAAATTGAAATTATTTAACTTTGTCATAAAGAAGACATGAATAAATTTTGATAATTTAAAATTCACTTTAAAATTATTTAATTTCAATTTCATTTTTTTTTTAAATTTAGTCATACATAAATGTCAATATCTTTTCTTGTTGTTATTTTCAATGTTTCATTTTAATTAACTTTTCTTAGCTTATAACTTTGTTAACTTAAAACTCTAAATTAGTAGTTTTAATTTAAAAAATTAAAAATAAATGCAAATTTTCAGCTTTTCCATGCTAATCCATTTATGATGTTCGGTGCTCATCAATTGGTAAGTTAAATTATTTAACTTTGTCATAAAGAAGACTTGAAAATTTTAAGTTAAATAATTTTTTATTTTAATAAGTTATAAATAATTAATTAATTAATAAGTTTAAGTTAATAAGTTATAAATAATTAATTAATTAATAAGTTAAATAATTAACTTTTTTTTCATTTTCATTTTTAATTAAATTCTTAGTAAGATTAATTTGCTAATTATTAATTACCATATTTATTCATTAATTAATTTATCATTTTTTATGTGTTTAACATCTAATAAGTTAAAATTGTAGTAATATTTTTAATAAGTTTTATTTTTTTTTTAATATATTTAATAATATATTTGATAAGTTATAATTTACTTATATACACAATTTATATATATTCATATATTTAATAAGTTTTTTTTATTTATTAATTAATTCATCATTTCATGTTATAATTAATATTTAATAAGTTAAAATTTTAACAAGTTTCATTTTTTATATTTAATTCTATATTTAATAAGTTATAATTTAATTAATAATTATTATAATTAATAAGCTATATTTAATAAGTTATAAATAATAAATTAATTAATTTATTATTTCAAGTTATACTTAATATTTTTTTTTTTTTTTAAATTTTTCAATGCAATTGTTTGTATTATTTTATTATTTCTTTTTCATAATTCCTAATTTAGCTGAAAACTTTTGTAATAATTTTTAAAAATAATCCTTTTTATTATAACTAAAAATAAATCGATTGATTGATTTTTTCTTGATCAAAATTTTATCCGAAATATATTATTTAAAATTGTAAACAAATATAACATATTTTATGTGACCAAATTATTTTTAAAAACTTAATTTTGATCAAATAGCACAAAATTAAAATCATCAAAAATTTATTCATTTAATATTTGTAATTTCAAAATCTCTTTTTTTTTTTCTAATTTAATTGTGCTTATTTAATTTTTTATTTTCTGCAAATTTTTTTTTTAATGAAATTTTTTCAAATTTCAGTGCCAAAAAAAAAAAAAATTATTAAATTAATTAATAAATTAAATTTAATTTTACAGCAAAATCCAATGCAATCATTTACACCACCAAATTTGGCTTTTTCAAGTAGTAACGGTGGTTGCGGTGATTATTTTCATTTACATTTAAACAATCAAACTGATCAAATAACACAACAAAGCTTACAACAACAACAACCATTCGTATCGCAATATTCTAGCGGTGGTACTTCATCACAAACCACTGATATGTTAACTAATCATAGTCATAATGTGATTAGTTATCAGCCACAGGTATTGCCTACAATTTCTTACCTTTCTTTTTTACTTCTTATTGACTGAGCAAAATGTGATTAGTTATCAGCCACAGGTATTGCCTACAATTTCTTACCTTTCTTTTTTACTTCTTATTGACTGAGCAAAATGTGATTAGTTATCAGCCACAGGTATTGCCTACAATTTCTTACCTTTCTCTTTTACTTCTTATTGACTGAGCAAAATGTGAGTAGTTATCAGCCACAGGTATTGCCTACAATTTCTTACCTTTCTTTTTTACTTCTTATTGACTGAGCAATTTCATTTTTCAAATCCAATTACAACCACAAACACAATAAAGCGCAATATAAATGTATCTTTATATTGTACTACAGATTTAAAAATATGTAAATATTTGACAAATAAAAATTTCCTAAGGAAAAAAATTAGCACTAAATTTAAGTTACATGCTTGACTTAAATAATTTAATCAAGTATTTGAAAAAAGAATACTTCACCATCATTGCAGAAATAATTTTTAATTTAATTAGCAAATTTACCAAAATTTAAAATTTGCACTTTTATTCAAAATCAATTTTATCATAGTATCATTTCAAAATCTTATTTGGTAATGCTTTGATAAACTTTATCATATATGACAGTGAATTTTTTGTTAAGCTAACTTTTTTTGTACCGTAACTGTAAATTGTTAAGTTAGTTTCAAATTTTGTATAACAATTTAATTTAATAATAATAATTTTTCTAACAAAAAAAAAAAGAAACTCTTTTACTTTATAGAAAAGTACTGATAGTACTGATAATTACAATTATTCTTACAGTTAGAAACACTATCATCACTGATAATTAATTATGATTATTATTCTTACAGTTAGAAGCACTACTTAGAAGCATCGCTGATAATTATGATTATTATTTTTACAGTTAGAAGAACCATTATCACTGATATTTATGATTATTATTCTTACAGTTAGATGCACCATTATCACTGATAATTAATTATGATTATTATTTTTACAGTTAGAAGCACCATTATCACTGATAATTAATTATGATTATTATTATTTTTACAGTTAGAAGCACCATCATCACTGATAATTAATTATAATTATTATGTTTACAGTTAGAAGCACCATCATCACTGATAACACCAGCATTGGATTATACCGTAAGTGGTGATAACTTGGAATATATGCTAAGCAATTACTCGTCCACGATCTCATCCGCTGCTTCCGTTGCGTCAACGGGAAATGAGGTACGATCAAATGTTGCGGAACACTTACAACAGCAACAATATACGGGACAAACTGGTGCTAATAATACATTACGAACCGATGATGTAATTGTTGCTAGTGTTGTTACCACTAGTAATACCGGTAAAGAGGTACCACAGGTTTCGTGGTAATAAAAAAGAAATTGGTTTTTTTTTTTTTTTTTTGCTAACAAAAATTTATCTTTTATCATTGTCATCAGTGTTTTATCATCGTTATCATCGTCATCATCATCACCATTAATTATCATTTATTATCATATTTCCTATATGACAACGGTCTCATTGATACTCATTTTGTAGTCATTCATTTATCATTTTGGGCTTATATTTCTATTCCCTATTTTCATATTAATTTAAAGTATGCACTAAAATATTAGTAATAATAAATTAATTCAATTTTTACGTGATCGTGACGTAAATCAACGTGTTTTTCTTATTATTACCAATATTAATTTTCGTTCGTATTATTAAATTTTTAGGTGAAAAAAGAAAAAAATTTTTTTTTTAAACATTTAATTTTAAGTGCATACTTTTATTTATTCGTAAACTCAAACGTTTCTTCCTTTTTTTTTTTTTTTTTTTTCGATCTCTATAAATACTATTATAATTAATTTAAAATTTTTTGTCAAAAAAAAAATTAAATTAAATTTTTTATTCCTTTTTGGAAAAAAAGAAAAACTATCCATCGTTTTCTTTTTTTTTTTTTTTTTTTTCAACTTTTATATGTTTAAAAAAAGGAATTAAATTTATGAATTTTTTTTTTTTTTTTTAATGGAAGGAAGTAAAAATTTTTTTTAGAAAAGAAAAAATAAAGCAGTTACAAAAAATTTTGAGGGTGCAAATAAATTAATTTGTTTTAAAAAATTTTTTTTAAATGATCAAATAGCTATAACTAATTAATAAAAATACATAATTTATAATTAAATTTTTCTCTAATATTATTTATTTTTTTTTTATTCATTTATTTGTTTACTTTTTTTTTTTTTTTTGCTTTGTTTTTGGAATGAATAATTATAAATAATCAAAATTTACATTCCAATTTAGTAATCTTATCGTTCAGCATTCTTTTACAATTAAAACCTAAATTTGCATAATCAGTTTGAGTTTACCAATTTCTCTTTTTTTTTAAAAAATTTTTTTCCTCTTTTTTTTTTTTTTCTTTCATTATAGTTTCTTTTTTTTTTCATTTGTTCATTTATTTAAATGCTAAAATTTGAATTTTGTTTAGTATTTCATTTTAGTTGTGCATCATTCTAAAATATACAAAATGTCCTTTTTTAAATTTATTTATCTTTTTTTTTGTTGATTAGAAAATAATACAAATTAGTTTAACCTAATATTAAAATATTAAATTTAATATAGTAATACTTATTAATGAATGAATTAGAAAAGGATTAGTTGTTATAATATATTTACTTATAGTAATAGTAACTTTGTTTTTCGTTTTTTTTTTTTTTTTTTTGCTGTGAGTTAAGTAATTAGTAATTTGTAAAAAGCAAAGTTAATTTTTTTATATTTATTTATCATTTTTGAAAAGTTAAATTTACCAATTATTTCAGTAAATATTTGGTCATTTAATTTTTAATTATTATTTTTTTTTTTAAAAAAAAAAACGAATTATATGAATTAGATGAAAAAAAAATTAAAATAAGACACTTTTTTTTTTTTTTTTGCAAATATTTTTAATTAAAATATTCATTCATTTTTTTTTTTTGTCAAATATTTTTTCAACCAGATTTTAAATTTGTAAAATTTTTATTAAATTTAGTTTTTGAATTTTTAAGCTAAAATTTTATATATGTGCCTTTGTATTGTTTTCGCATAATGATTAAAAATATATGTGCCTCAATGATGTTTTTTATTTTCTGTTAATTTCTTATCATTATAATACTTTTTTTTCTTTCCCATATTAAAATGTTTCCTTTTTTTTTTTTTTTTTTTAATTTTAAATTTTATTTTGTTTTGAAAGAAAAAATTGTGCCTGAGATTCCTTTTTCTTTTTTTGCAGTTGTTATACCATAAATATAATAATTCCAATGTGCCATATTTTGTACAGTTCAATGTTTTATATCATTTTTTTTCTTTATTTTTTTTCCAATATATCTTTTTTCTATTATTTTACTTTTTTACAACTTAATTTAACTTTTTTTTTTTTTTTTTTTGAATTCCATTCATTTTGTTTTCCATTTTAAATAGAAAATACACTGCCTTAAACTTTAAATATATATTTTTTTTCTTTTGCTGCAAAATTTAAAAGTATTAAAAAGTATAAAATTATAATCAATTTTAAAGATGCAAAAGTATATAAAAAAAAAAGCTTATTAAAAATTTGAAATAAAAAAAAAAAGTGAACTAAAAGTTATTTTATTGATGGAACTGAGAAAACAATCGATAATAAATTAAAATATCATCAATCAGTGATAAATATATTTGATAAAATTCGAAAGTTATTAGTATGTTTTTTCTATTGTAACAATTTATTTTAACTTCTATTTTTTCTCTCTCTCTTTCTCTCTCTCCTTTTTCTCTTCTTCTAAAAATTCAAGTTTTTATATTCAGTAAATAGATTATGCAAAAATAAACAAATAAACAATACGGAATTAAGCAACTCATCAGTGTTTCATCGACTATTAAATCAAATAAATATCAATTTGAAATCGATTCATTCAGGAATGTTTCGGCTATTGCATTATTACAGTATTATTAATTTGAAACAAAATGATAATTGAAATTTAATTTGAATTTAAAATATTTGAGTCAATTTTTCATCCAAATATTCAGTTTGAATAAGGAACAAAATTTAGTTATCTTCTATTTAGCATATTCTTTATCAAAATAAATTTTATACAATGTAAACTATGATCATATAAGTGGCAAATAAAATTATCGTATGACAAAAATGGCGGTGTTTTTTTTTAAGTTAATTCATTTTAATAATTTGTTTTTTGTTTAAAAACTTTTCCAGTGTCTAAAATATTTATCATGCAATTACATTTCAAAATTTTAAGAATTAAAATTTAAATTAAAATTTTTGTTTCACTTTTTCTATCCATTTCTCTAATATCTTTTTCTTTTATTCATTAATTATTGTGAAAAAAAAGAAGAGAAGAAAGGAATTTTTGAATTGCATAACGATAATTAATTAGTAGTAAATAGTCAGTCATAATTTTTGTTTTGAAAATTATCTTCTTATTTTTGAAAAATAGGATATACAATAAAATGATAAAGTAATTTTGCTTAAATTAACTAATAATAATAATAAATTGCAAATAGAATAAAATTATTTTTTTAAATATTTTCACATACCATTAATTCAATCATTTTTTCTGCTCCTTTTTTTTTTTTTTTTGCTTCATATTATAATTAATATTTGTTATATTCATAATAAATTATTAATGCATGAATTTGAAGTGTAATTTTTGCCCGTTTCCTTGTTGCTACCCATATTTTTGTTCCCATTCCCAACATTTCATTTTTCTTTTTCCCATTTTTTCTTTTTTTTTAAAATAATATATATACAGTGATGAATTTTTTCTTTTGAAATTGAAACGTAATTGCTTTTTTTGTAAGAAAAAATAGAGCAAAAAACAATACCCGAATAATTTTACTACTGTAGGATTACAGTACTGATCGACAACTGCTGGCTACTGTAATTGTGAATGCTAACGGCTGTTCTGGTTACTGTAGCATGAAAAACGGTGTTCAATAAAAATTATTATTTATTGTAGCTATAAATCAAGTGAACAACTAATGATTTATGTATGATACAGTATTATTTAACAATTACTAAAGATACAGTATTAATTAACAATTATTAATGATCAATTATCGTAATGTAAATCGCAGTACTGATTAACAATCTGCAGAAAACAAAAAAAAAGCAAATTAAATTCAACAAAAATTTAAATCAAAACAAAAAATATATATTATGATTCGATTAAATCATTATTTTCATACTTATTCAGTGTAATTTCAATATTTTTTTCAGTTTTCTTACAAATAGTCATGATTAAGAAAAAATAAAAGTAATAAAATAGCTTTAAATCTATTAGCTCCATATTTGTAGTTTTATTTTCAACAAAATTTTTTCAAATAACATTTGCAGATTTAGCAGTTAAACATAAACAAAGCATAAGATGAAGAATTATATTTCAAATATTTTTTTTGTTTACATAAATACAATAATTGAAATGACAAAAAAATAGGATTTGAATTTAGTTTGGTTTGTCCATGTCAAAAAAAAAAAATAATACATTTGCTTTAACTTTTTTCTTTAATTTTTTTTTTTTTTCTGAAAATATTACAAGAATTCAAAATATCTTCAAAAAATTATAATTTTTCATTTTTTGTTTTCATTGAACAATTAAATAGTAAACATGTAATAATAAGTTAAAGAAAATGAAGCAATTATTCATATTTATTAAATATTTTCATTGAAAAATGAAAATAGTACAAGGTGGTTAATATTTAATTATTTCAAAAGAAAAATAATATTAAAGTAAGCTTTATTATCAAAGTAATATTAAACTAAGTTTTGTTATCAATTAATAACAACTGAATACATTCATTTTAAAATACATTAGAGTAAATTATATTTTATAAATTTAAATTTTGCATTTACATTTCCACTATTTAATAGTTTTTTTTTTCATTTTTATTTATAAATTTAATCTTTTTTTTTTAAATTTTCGGTTTTTTTTTCAGCTTTTTTAGTAATATTTTGATATTTTTTAGTTGTTGATTGCAGCATTGTTTTATTTACACTAACTATTGTTGTTGTTTTTATTATTTTCTCAGTTTTTTTAGGTATTACTGTTTTCGTATGACGAGTTATAAATGTAAATTTTACAGTGAAATTATGAATATTTGGAAGAATAATTTTTCTATATTGATTACGATAATATGCTTCACCTGCCTGATCATCATCAAAATCCGGATAATGTCGTTTCAGTGGTCGTGCATCAGTCCAAAAACGTTTTGAACGATTCACTGATAATATTTCCGATTGTTCCATCATTTTTCTTGATAATATTTTCTTGTTTACATTACTGTTGATGCTATTTATTGGTATAAACATCAATAGGATGAAATCTGTGCAAACAATTAATGTAAATAAACAAACAAATAAACAAAGTAGCTACTAATTACCTTTTGTAGAAAATTAAAATGAATAATTGATGAATTTTTGTTTTCTTTTTGTTTACTAAATTTGTGTCATTTTGAAGAATAAATTTAAATTTGTTATCTTTTACAGAAATTAAAATGAATAATTGATGAATTTTTGTTTACTAAATTTTGTCATTTTGAAGATTAAATTTAAATTTGTTATCTTTTACAGAAATTAAAATGAATAATTAATGAATTTTTGTTTTCTTTTTGTTTACTAAATTCTGTCATCTTGAAGAATAAATTTAAATTTGCACTAATAAAATAAAAAATTATAGTAGAGTTAGTAAAAGAATTTTTGCAAACTATTTTATCATATATACAGAGTCTATTTAAGTTTTAAATTTCATTTGAATTTATCAACTTGCTCATGCAACAAATGATTATGCTGTGTAAAAATGTAATTTTAGATAAACTTAAAAATGGAATAAAATAACGAATAAAATTAAAATGAAACTATTTCAATTAATTCTTTTAGTTTATAGTTGCTCTTTTCACTTTAAACAAGATTTAAAAAAAATTTAAATTTATTTAAATTAAGAAAAAAATATTCATTACCAGTTATAATGATAGCTGGATAAAATTTCAAATTATTTTCAACCATTTCCTTTTCTAAAATTAAATATTATCTAATATTATTTTTAAACAACAAATTATACAATTTGGCTAAGCGGAATCCTAAAAAAAAAAGAATGAACAAATAAAACAAATAACTATAAAATCGATAACTATAAACAAGCAAATTCTAAAATGAACAAATTAAGTAACCTAAAATTAGCAAATAAATATAAATAAAAGATTTAATAATTAAAAAAAAAAAATTATTACTTATTAATATGTTAAGAAAATTAAAAGTATTTGTTATCATTTAAAAAAAAAAAAAATGCTTTGCTGTAAAATTTTTGATCTTTTGTTTTTCTCGAGGATTCTAATATTTTAATCATTCTCGTATAGAAATGAAATTTTAACAATTTAAAAAACTAATTAACTTAACAAATAATATATTTGTAGCAATGCAAAAATTTTAATTTCATTTTAAAAAAGAAAGAAAAAGAGGTTTTTGAGGGAAATTATGGAAAAAGCACCAATCAATTAAAATGTTTTTCAAATTTAAATGAAAATTTTGCAAGCAAATTGTTCATCACCGCTTCGATCATTTCCATTAATAATTTATACATTTTGGAAAAAGACAATTTGCGCTTTGATTGTATAAATAAAATGATTTAGAATTAATAAAATACATTTTATTTCAGCATTACAATATCTATTATTCATATTTTAATTTGCTTATTTATTTATTTTTTTTTTTTTTACCAAATATTTTCGAAAAGTTTTTTTTTTTTTCTCTCTTCCACTTTGCGGCGCTTTTTTCAGTGGTAAAAATAAAATTAATTTTAGGATCAATTAGAAAAAGAATGTAAATGAATTCGAAATAAAATTTTTATGCCTAAAATATGTTATTAAATCTTACTTAAATATCCTAAATGATATCATATCTTACTCAAAAATATCCTAAATAATATGATATCTTACTTATCCTAAATGATAAGTTATCTTACTTAAAAATATTCTAAATGATAAGATATCTTACTTAAAAATATTCTAAATGATAAGATATCTTACTTAAAAATATTTTAATGATAAGATATCTTACTTAAAAATATTCTAAATGATAAGATATCTTACTTAAAAATATTCTAAATGATAAGATATCTTACTTAAAAATATTCTAAATGATAAGATATCTTACTTAAAAATATCCTAAATGATATGGTATCTTACTTAAAAATATCCTAAAATGATATGGCAATTCCTGAAATTACTTGTATATCTATCATATCATTAATAGTAACGTTTCTAGTCTGATCCTGTTCCGGATTCTTTACGGATTAGCCAAGATGGTTCAAATATTTTATGCAAAATATTTTTTCGTATTTCTTCCTCATAAATGAAAATTTCAATGGAAGATAGCAGCTCACAAATGGGAAATATATTTACTAACGTATGCCAATAGTATTATATGAACTATGACCTCTGGCAAAATACAGGCCAACTGTAGTGCTGGTACCATGGCCCAATTACATTGCCAAAACTCTTGTTACCGAAAGTTACTATAACCTACCCAAAGTTATATATTACCAGAAGTTACTTTTACTTTTAACTTTTACTTACTTCAATTAATAAAAAAATTGTGAAAGAAGGATCGATCACAACATTCACTACCATATGCTAATTGCATTATATGACCTATGACCTTTGGCTGGTACCATAGCCCAAATACATTGTTAAAACTATTATTACCCAAAGTTTTGTTACCAGAAGTTACTACAACTTACCCAAAGTTATATATTACCAGAAGTTACTTATACTTTTAACTTTTACTTACTTCAATTAATGAAAAAATTGTGAATGAAAAATCAATCAGAATAACAAAACAATATTTTATACTGGAAAATACAATACCTAAAAACATAAATACTTAAAAAAAAAAAAACAAAATGATGATAGTTTAGATACTAAACTAATATTTCAACATATAAACAAAAAGAAAAAAGAAATTTTTTTTTTAAAAGAAAAGGAATTTTTGAGAAATTTCCAAATATTTTGTACATCAAAATAATGAATATAAAAATAATTGATTAATTAATTAATTAACTAATCAATCAATAAATAAAAAAGTTTAAGAAAAAAAAAAGAATTTTTCTCATTTTTTATAACAAACAAAAATAATTCATTCTATTTTAATTGTAATAAATAATTTTTAATGAAGAATGAAATGAATAACAAAATTTGAATAATATTTCAATGATATTTTTCTAAAATTATTACTGATCATTTGATTATTAATTCATAATATTAATTGGTATAAAATAGCACTTTTAATTTCTATTAAAAATTATTTAAAATATTTGAAGACAATTTCATTTCATTCAAAATAACAATTACACATTTACATTTTATAATTTCAACAACATTTCAAACATTTTAACATCTCAGATATTACTATTCCTGTAAAAATATATATCAGTAAAATAAATATTTTATCATTTTTATCAAATTCATTTATCATTTTTTCTTTCATTCCGTTTTTATTTTATTCTAAAATAAATTTAATAAACGATAAGCTTGAAATTCTCAAAATTTTTTTTTTGTTAATTTTAAATTTAATAAAAAAAGACTTTATGTCTAGCATTATTTTAGCAAAATCCTTTTTTTTTTTTTTCTGATATTAGCAAAAAAACAAAATGAAATTTTCTTTTTTTGCTAAAAAATTTTGAAAAGAAAAAAATTGAATATATTAATAATTTTTTTTTTTCATTCTATCGTAAGTTTTATTTATAAATTTTTACAAAAATTAAACTTTACTCTTCCACAATTTCAAAAATTAATTGAACTTTTTTTTTTAAATAACAACAATTCATTTTTGGAATACAAATTTATATTACTAATAAATAGCTGAGAAATTTCATAAAAAACGTATTTTAAAAAGAAATTTGCCCTTCTTTTTTCCTTTCTTTCTTTCTCTCTCTCTCTCTCTCCTTCTCACTCTTTTAAATTGATAAAAATGATAAAATTATTATCTATTTAAAGTTATAATGCAATTTAATCCAAATATCACTGTATGATATTAATTACAAAATGCATTATGATAATTAATTTTCTCTTAAATTAAATATAAATAACAAAAGTGAGAAAAAAAAAAATTAAATTAAATTAAAAATAAAAATGTGAATTTCAGAGTATTCGTTGTGTTGAAAAATAAACAAATAAACAATTATTTAAAAAAGATTCTTTTTTTTTTTTGAATTTTTGATAAAAAAAAAAAATGAAAAAAAAGTTTATTTTTTTTTCAGGAATTATCTATATCATTGAATTTTTTATTTCAACCATTTTCATTCATTCATCTTTTTGTGATTTTCCAATCGTTTAACTGATAGAATGTTCTCCTGAAAAAAAAAAAAAAAAAAGGAAACCTGAAATAATACTGAAATTCATTACTTCTGATATTAGATAAATGAATATTATTTTATTTATTAAAAAATTATCACAGTAATATATCTTTCTAAAGATAAAAATTCATCTTAAACTTTGTAATTTCAAAATTTAATTTTAAAAATAGTAAATGTAATATATTAGTTTATTTTATATTGAATTAATAAATTTGATAAATTTTCTGGCTGATAAAAAAAATGAGTGATAAAGCCATTGTTTTATCATTTTTAAAATATTACTGTTAAATGAATGTTTTTTTTTCAGTTATAAGAGACATAAATGATAAGAATAAGTTTAATTTTTCTATTATTTCCGTAATTACTATTTATCACTGATAATTGCCTTTATCATTATCACTAAAACACTTACTGTTTAAGAGGTATAAATGATAAGAGTAAATTTTATTTTCTTCTTATTTTTCTAATTACTATTTATTACTGATAATTGCCTTTATCATTATCACTAAAACACCTACTGTTTGCGAGTACGAATGATAAGAATAATTTTTATTTTTTAATTCGTTCTTAATTACAGCTTATTATTGATAACTGCCTTTATCATTATCACTAAAATACTTTCTGTGAGAGATATGAATGATAAGAATAAATTCTTTTATATTATTTCTCTAATTACTATTTATCACTGATAATTGCTTTTATGATTATCACTAAAATATTACTATTTACAGTGATAACTTCTAATTACTATTTATCTTTATCGCTAAACCACTTATTGTTTACAGTGATAACTTCTGATTACTATTTGTCATTATCACTAAATCACTTACTGTTTACAGTGATAACTTCTGATTACTATTTGTCATTATCACTAAACCACTTATTGTTTACAGTGATAACTTCTGATTACTATTTGTCATTATCACTAAATCACTTACTGTTTACAGTGATAACTTCTGATTACTATTTGTCATTATCACTAAACCACTTATTGTTTACAGTGATAACTTCTGATTACTATTTGTCATTATCACTAAACCACTTATTGTTTACAGTGATAACTTCTGATTACTATTTGTCATTATCACTAAATCACTTACTGTTTACAGTGATAACTTCCTGTTCTTCCGCTCCTGTATTACTTTGCTCCAATAATAGTTGCTGATCACTTAGCATATTGCATTCTTCCGTTTCTTCCTACATAAAAAAATTTAAAAAAATAATTAAATTTTTTTAACTTAATGATTTTTTTTAAGAAAAAATTTTTTTATTCAATTCTAATTAATTTGAAATTTTAAAGAATTAAGAAATGAATGAATAAACAAAAATTAAAAACAAATTAAAATTAATTTAAAACGTAAACAAACCTCATATTTCATTGATTTCATATGAAATGTTTCTTGCATTGCTGAAATATTTGCATTCATATCAGCTGAACAAATATTTTTTGATTCATTAAGTAAATTTATTGTTTGAATATTTTGCATATTGCAAATTCGCACTTCTGGATTTCCATTTTTATCAGTTATCAATGGAATTTTATCATTATCACACATGAAAGTGTCTATATTTGATGGAAAATAATTGTTAAATTCATTCTCAATTGATTCATTTATTGAATTTAAAATTAATTGACCATCTGCTGTTAAACCACTGATTAAATAGCAATATTTTGTTGTGATATCATTAGTAGCTTGAGAAATTTCATTTTTGAATTTTCTATTTTCCAATTTCAATTCCTGTTTGATACATTCCGGAAATTCATCAACAATAGAATTTGTTACTTGTTGTAGAGAAATACTATTTCTAACATTTGATTCACATTCACTTAACATATATTCATCCTGAGCATTATCACTGCTCTGATAAGGAACTGATATGTTCATTTGTTCACTGATAATACCATTTGATTCGGATATTATCATATTCTTATCAGAATTAATCATTTCATCTGTAAGCATTGATGAAGCAATGTTACATTCAGAATGCGAATTTTCCACTGATCTTTGCACTTTCTCATCTGATTTTAATTTTGATAAATCAGTACCTGTAAATTGAGTTCCACATTCCGGAATGCATTCAGGAACAACAGATTCAGTTTTAGCAATTTTTTCAATTTCATCTTTTGATATTTTACGTTTTTCAATTCTTTCATCAGTTAATTCTGCAATATTTTGTATTATATCATTCATATATTGTTCCAAAAAGTCATTTAGCTGCTCTTTCATCGATTGTTTCATCTCATTCACTTTTTCCGGTTCATTCGTAGATATTCCGGAATATTCCGGATCCATCATTTTAGCATTATCTTTCTCTATTATCATTGATTGTTTGATTGCTTCGTTATCAGTTTGCATTGTTATCATTTTTCTCATATTATCAAGATCTGAAATTGTCGTTTCATCACTACAAACAACAATTTTCGGAATTCCTTCATTGCATCTAGAATTTATTGTATTAGATATTTTCTCGAAATCTTTTGGCGCAAATAATTTCGATGATAATTTCTTTTCTTCTTTATCACTGATAATAACATTATCATTTTCCTCAGCTAATATTTCATTTTTTTCAATTTCTTCTCGACTACATTCTGATATAACTTGTCGCGAAATCATTGAATTTTCTTCGAGAGCATTTAATTCAATCGATGATACATCTGAGCGTGGAATTGTTGATATCAATGAATTTTCAATGCATTCAGATAAATCAGATTCCATTTCTGTTCCATTCATTTTATCAATGCTCTTATCACTGATAACATTTTCTGTTGAATAGTTGTTTTCAAAAGAATGATCAGTATCAGTGATTGACCTATTCAAAGTGAAAGTATTGATCTGATCATCTGTTTCGTGTTTTATTGTTTCAAGTGAAGTTAGAATAAACGGTTGAACATCTTGCATACCAGAAATTACAGGTTCAAATTTATTTGTTAATCCATCAATTATTAAATTTTCAGGATTCAATAATATTGATTCCGGAAGTTTTCCTTTTACTGGTGTTGTAATCATTTCAGGTTTAGCTAACACAATTGTTTCAGTGTTACTTGCTTCAGTTATTTTATTATCGAAACTTTTGATGGATTGTTGAGTGATAGATTCAGGTGATTTTGATGCTTCTGATTCAGTTTGTAGAATACCCTGAATTCCGCCTCTTTCCGGCTCTATTCCGGCTGTTCCTTCTACTTCTGAAATTTCCATTTCATGTAATAACCTTTTCGTTTGCTCTTGTAGTGTCATATTTTCAGTAATTTCATCCTGTATTCTAGAATGAGATTTTTCAATTAAGGATGATGTATCATTGACCGGAATATCGGAAATTAAAGTAGACGATTCGGATGAAACAATAAATGATTCCGGTTTTTCATCACTTTGATGCTTATTATTAAAATTTAGATGATCGTCTATATCAGTATCACATTGTTGAATTTTTGCATCAAAATTTTTATCAATTATTTTGTTTTCAGTTGCTGTAGTTGTTTCCTGATATTTTAACTGTTTATCGATGAGAAATTCCGGAAATTGTTCCACTTGAAAAAGATCTTTCACCGATTCCAATTCATTATTTTTTGTTGCAATTTCAATTTTTTCACCCAAATGTTCAGCATCAGCAGTTATTTGCTGTTCATTTTCTACCGGATCATCCAATTGTTCAAATGAACTTTCCGATTTTGGCAACTCAAATGATTCATTGTTTGTTTCCGTTATTGACGTTGGCATTAGTTCCGGTGACTCAGACATTTTCCGAACTGGCGTTGATATTAGTTCCGGTAATTTTGATAATCTCTCAACATTACAGTCTTCTGTACCTTGATCAACCGAATATTCAGTCTTGTTTAATTCCGTAAAATCATTACGGCATTCCTGATCATCTGAAAATTCAATTTCTGTATAACATACATCTTCTATTGCACCAACAGAGCAAAGTTTTTCTGCTGATGCCGAATTTTTGCTAACCGGAATCGAATCATCCGTTACAAATTCGGTTAGCTTTTCTTCTGTAGCGGGAATTTCTTTTGCCTGATCTACGGAATAGATTTCCGATATTACAACTGAATCATCTCCTTCCAATTTTCCTTCTGATGATATCTCTAAAATTTCACCATTAATTGCAACAAATTCATCTACATCATATTCCGTATCCGTTTTATCCATTTGAATTTCTTCCCTTGCTATTGTTTCAGTAAAAACTGCATGTGTTATTTCAGGTATTTCAATATGTTTCTTAGTATTATCAATTTCCGATTGTTTATCCGTCTGCAATTCCGATTTCGATTCTAAAATGTTCATTCGTGCTGGTGATGAAATAATTTCATTAATTTTTTCAAAATTTTCATCTATCATTTTATCATCCACTGATGATAATTTATCTAATCTTTCATCTGAATGATAAATTGATTGATTTTGTTTACTATCAATTTGTGTAATTTTTCTTTGATCAATTGAACTTTGACCTCTAGCTAATTGTTTTGTCTTCTTTTCCATTTTCATTCCAATTTTAGCTAAACATTGATCATCATCAGCAGCAGCATCATCATCAATCTCATCAGATAATATCATTTCCTGTGAATCACTATCATTTGGTATGGAATCAATTGAAGTTCGATGACTCATCATCAAATTTTCAACTTCATCATCCGTTCTTTTCCATTTTGAAATAACAGATGAAGCATCAGCTGATGATAGATCAGCTATTTCAAATTCTGTCTTCTTTGAAATTTCTGTTGATAAATCATCAAATGATAAATTTGAACTTTCCAAATGTTTAATTTCTAATTGCTTAAATTTTGCTTCTGATTCCGTAATCAGTTGTTGTGATACAGTCGATTGAATTCTCTGCTCATCATTTATTGATAGTGTTGAAAAATTATTCATTGATGAAAGTGATTTTGCTGATATTGCTCCTTTTTCAATTTTTAAATCAATACTTTCCGGTGATGTAATACCGGAATACATTTCTCTTTCATCATCATAATTTAATGCTGATTCGTCACTTCTATGTTCAATAATTTCCATTGTTGTCTTCAAGTCAGCATCATTTCCTAATTCCGGATCAGTTTTCGATTTCATTCTATCATCATCCACTTCTAATAATTTATGTCCTGTTAATGTTGTTGTTGTTGGCGTTGTTGGCGTTATTGTCTTTTTTTGCGCAACTTTTTTTCCTGGCGTTGTTGTCCTACAAAAAAAAAAGTTTTTTTTTTTTTTCTCATCTCAAATAAATCTTTAAAATCGGCTAAAATTTTTTTTTTTAAAAAATTAAAATTAGTTAAAATTTTTATATTTTATGAAATAAATGTATTTTTAATCGAATACTTATCAAATAGAAGTACTTATCAAACATAAAAAAGTTATCAAATATAAAATACTTATCAAATAGAAAAAAAGTTATCAAAAAGTTTTTTAAAGGGATTAAAAATTTGATTGATTGGTAAATTTAAAAAAAAAAAGGGAATTAAATTAACAATAATTTACTTTTTTGCGCGCGATGTTTTGATAATATCTGATGCACCACTACTTTTTACATTTGATAAAGTTACTGATAAGCGAGTGTTATTATCAGTACTAAGTTGTCGTTTTGATTGTAAACGGTTGTTAACATATGAATTATCAGATATACCACTTCTCGATGATTGTGGTTTAGTTGAACGACTACGATGTTGATTTAATGATTGAATACTTCTGAAAAAAAAAAAAAAAAGAAAAAATTAAATTAATAAAAATAAAAAAGAAATTTAAAAAAAAAAATTTTTTAGTTTTCTTTCTTTTTTTTCTTTCAGTTTTTCTCATTTTAAAAGATTTATTTTATTAAATTATACAAAAAAAAAAAGTTCAAAATAAGCTAATAATATTGTTAATAAATTATAAAAATGTAAAAAATTTTAAAAGATCTAAAAGAAAATTCAAAAAAAAAAAGAAATGTAAAAGAATTATAAAAAATTTAAAAGATTTTAATTTTAATATACATTTAATAATTACTTTTCTCAAAAAATATAAAAAAATTACAGCAGGATAGGTTGATGATAACAATTTTAATTTATTAATCTTCATTTAAGAAATAAAATAATTTGTTAATTTGCTAAATTTAAAAAACTTTCATTTACATTTCAAAAAATTTTTTTTGGCTATAATTAATATATAAATAATTAATATTTTAGAATTAAAAAATTTCTGCAATTTTTTTTTATATCTAATTATAATAATATACTTGAAATGATTATTTTTTTTCCACTTTGCATGATGCACAATTGTATGAATAAAAATTTTTAGGACAAAAATTTTAATTAAAAAAAAAAAATTGTAAAAAAATGAAAGAAAGAAATTTAAATATTTTACATCTCTTTTTTTTTACACATTGTTTTATTTTTCTATTTAATTTTTTTTTTATTAAAAATATATAAAAGTAAATAATATTATCATTGTTTTATTGTTCGCTGCATAAATTAAATTGATAAATGATAGTTTTATTTAAAATTTTTAAAATTTTATTTCAAATTAACTTGATAAATAATAATTTTATTTTAATTTATTAATTTTTATTTTCAATTAAATTTTAAAAAATGATAATTTTAATTTTAATGCTATAAATTTATTCATTTTTTATAAGATATACCAAATTATTATAACAATATTGTTGACAATATTTTACCTTTTCATAGCTATCACACCTGTTTACAATAATGTTTACAATTTATTATTTACAATAATAAATAAAATCTATTATATCATATGATCCAGAATAATTCCAATGCTAATTTTAATCTAATAAATGACACAAAAATTTTATTTATTTCCGAATGTTCATTTTGTTTACTTATTGAAATTGATCAATTGTACTAAAGAATCTATTCATTGGGAATAAAATTATTTATAGAATTAAAAAAAGAAAAAATAGTTAAAAATTAATTCCTAAGTTCAAGTACACAAAAAAAAAATAATCTAATTAAGAATTAAATTATTTCTAGAATCAAAAAAAGAAGAATGGCTAAAAATTAATTCCTAAATTATATGCAAAAAAAAAAATAATCTATTTTAGTGTAAATATGGATGAAATTAAAAAAAGAAATTTTCTTCCTTTCTTGTTGTTGTTCTTTTTTTTTTTTTTTTATAGCTATTCTATTTGTTTACAACAATAGCATTGTTTTTTTTTTTTATTTTTTCATCTTTTTTTTTTAAATTTTTTGATAACTAAAAAAAAAAAAGGAAAGGAAAACAAATTTTTATTAATTGATGGTAGGATATTTGATCAAAATTTAGTAATTTCAGTGGTTTTTTTTTTTTTTTTTTTTGTTGTGGTGGTTGTTTTGTTTTGTTTTTGAATACCTCAAAGAAGGTTGTTCATAAATATTGGTTTGTGTGGTGGAAGATGTAATAGTAGTGGTAGTATTGGTAGTATTGGTAGACGTAGGATCGGTCAAACTGGGTAGTGACCTGCGCCTGAAGAACCAGGACACTTGAGGATCATTTTGATGTCGTGCAACCGAGAATGGACCAAATGAAACTTGGCGGAAACGTTCCAAACGGCTCAATTGTCGTCGTAGTTGTTGCATGTATAGAGCTAATGTTTCGTCATCCAACTTCAAAAAAATAAAATCAAATTATAAAATTATAAATTTAAAAAAAATTTATTTTTACTTAAACTTTTTTTCTTCCACTTTCATTTAATTTAATTGTCAATATTTATTTAATTTGATAATAAGACTTTTCATAATTTTAAATAAGTAAAAATTGATTAATCTAAAATTATTTTTTTTATCATTTCTTTTCTTTAATATAATTTTTAATTAAATTTTTTTAATTTTGACTTTATCGATCTTTCTTTCTTTTTTGTTCAATAATAAATATTATTTAGTTTAACAACAAGACTTTTCATAATTTTAAATAAGTAAATATTTGATAAATCTACAATCATTCCTTATCATTTATATCATATATTTTCTTTGATATAATTTACAATTAAAATTTTCAACTTTAACCTTATGCAAAATATCGATCTTTCTTCTTTTTTTAACTTAATAATAAATATTATTTAATTTGACAACAACACTTTTTATAATTTTAAATCAGTAAACATTAATATTTTAAATAAGTAATAAATAAATTTTAAATAAGTAAACATTAATAAATTTACAAACATTTCTTATCATTTATATCATATATTTTCTTTGATTTAATTTCTAATCAAAATTTTCAACTTTAACCTTACGCAAATATCGGTCTCTCTTCTTTTTTTAATTTAATAATAAATATTATTTGGTTAACAACGAGACTTTTTATAATTTCAAATAAGTAAACATTAATTAAACTTTTAAATCAGTAAACATTAATATTTTAACCAAGTAAACATCAATAAATCTACAATCATTTCTTATCATTTATATCATATATTTTCTTTGATTTAATTTCTAATTAAAATTTTCAACTTTAACCTTATGCAAATATCGGTCTCTCTTCTTTTTTTAATTTAATAATAAATATTATTTGGTTTAACAACAAGACTTTTTTATAATTTTAAGTAAGTAAACATTAATTAAACATTTAAATAAGTTTTAAATCAGTAAACATTAATGTTTTAAACAGATAACAAATAAATAAATAAATTTTAAATAGGTAAACATCAATAAATCTACAATCATTTCTTATCATTTATATCATATATTTTCTTTGATTTAATTTCTAATTAAAATTTTCAACTTTAACCTTATGCAAATATCGATATTTGAGTATATTTGTTGATAGTCTATTATAAACCAACGATGGATTTTCATACATTGGTTCCTCATTTTCTGCTTCAATTTTTTGCACCAAATTTTTATCATCAATACTAGCTGATGATCGTCGCCTTCTTGATCTTTTGATATAACGCCCTGTTAAAAAAAAAAAAAATTAACAAAAAAAAAATTTTTTTAAATTATTAATTGAAAATATTATTTAAAGAAAAAAAAAAAGATAGAATAAGACTAAATTGTATTTCTTTAGTTAAATTTTCTTTTATTTTGTTTTTATTTTCAAATAAATTAAATGGTTAATTTTTTTTCTTATTTCAATTTAATTTACAGTATTCAAATTATATTTGCAGTTTTTTTTTTTTTTTTTTTTCTTTCTTTTATTCATTGATAACAAATATTTACTTTTGTAGCTTGGACAGGTAATGAATTAATTGATTACAACTACACTTATCATTGATGATAATTTAAAATCAAAAGGAAAGACAAATGAATGAGTAATTAGTTTAATAGAGTAGTGAAATAGATAAGTGATAAAATAAGCAAACATACTTGAATGAGCAATTACTTTAATAGAGTAATTAAATAAGTAAGTGAGAAAATAAGTAAACATACTTATCACTAGTGATAATTTAAGATAAAAAAAGATGATTGAGTTAATTACTTTAACAGAATAGTCAAATAATTGATAAAATAATCACTAATGATAATTTAAAATCAAAAGAAAAGAAAATGAATGAGACTTTAATAGAGTAGTCCATTAAGTGATAAAATAAATAAACATACTTATCACTGATAATAATTTAAAATCAAAAAAAGAAATGAATGAGACTTTAATAGAGTAGTCCATTAAGTGATAAAATAAGTAAACATACTTATCACTGATAATAATTTAAAATCAAAAAGAAGAAATGAATGGGCAATTACTGTAATGGAGTAGTTGAATAAGTAAGTGATAAAATAAGTGAACACACACTTATCACTGATGATAATTTAAGATAAAAAAAGATGAATAAGTAATTATTTTAATGGAGTAATCAAATAAGTGACAAAATAAGTAAACAATAAACAAATAACTATTAGAAGCTTTTTTCGCCTAGTTATTTGATTAATTTATTAAAAATAAGTGTATGTAAGATATTGTTTGTAAAAGTTAACTTATCATTTGAACTATTTACTATGCAATTATTACTACTCTAAATTAGAATATGATAAAAAAGATTAGTAAGGGTAATATCTGGGTAAAGTAATCCCAGTTAAAATATTTCTAAATGATAAACTAAATTTAAGATATAAACAAATCAACAATTATATCAAATGTTATTTCATTTTTTTTATTAATCAAAAAATTTTGATCCGTAAAGAATAACTTTAATGGAGTAATCAAATAAATAAGTGATAAAATAAGTAAACACACTTATCAGTAATGATAATTTAAAATGAAAAGAAAAGAAAAAGAATGAGACTTTAATAGAGTAGTCAATTAAGTGACAAAATAAGTAAACATGCTTATCACTAGTGATAATCTAAGTGGCAAAAAAAAAATTATTTTAAAAATTTTATTAGGAAATAAATTTTTGCTTATTTGATTATAATTAAATTGAATTATATTAAATTAACAAAAATGATAAATGCTTACCTCGACTGAGACTACGAGAAGGTTTTGCTCGATGACAATCACTTGGACTTGCTGTACCACTCTAAATTATTAATTAATAATTTTCAAATATCTAAAATTAATTTAAATATCTAAAATTAATTAATTTAACAATGTAAACATTAATAAAATATTTTTATATTTTGTTACAAAAGAAAAAAAAAACTTAAGTAACAAAGTTAAATTTCTTTTTTAATTTAAATTCTTGGCTAAACGAGAAATACAACAAATTTTAAATTAATTTTTTTTTGCAAAAGTTTTTTAAAAAAAGAAAGTGTAAAGATAAAATGATGAACTCTTATCCTACGGCAGATTTCAATTTTTTCCGCTGCATGCAACTTGCGCTGCAAGTCGGCATATTTCTGCAATTCAGCTTCACGATTTCGTAGCATTTTATCGATCATTGTGTGACGCTGTTTATTACTATCTCTGTTATCTTCATTTTCACCATTTCTGATATCATCCAGCTAAAATGAATTAATAATAATGAAGTGATCAGAGCAATCAATGATAATGAAATGATCAAGAAATCGATGATAATAAAATGATCAGAGCAATCAATGATAATGAAATGATCAAGAAATCGATGATAATAAAATGATCAGAGCAATCAGTGATGATGGAATGATCAAGAAATCGATGATAACAAAATGATCAGAGCAATCAATGATAATGGAATGATAAAAGCAATCAGTGATAATGAAGTGATCAGAGCAATCAATGATAATGGAATGACAAAAGCAATCAGTGATAATGAAGTGATCAGAGCAATCAGTGATGATGGAATGATCAAGAAATCGATGAAAGTGAAATGATCACAGCAATCAATGATAATGGAATGATTAAAGCAATCAGTGATAATTAAATGATCAGAGCAATCAGTGACGATGGAATGATCAAGAAATCGATGATAACAAAATGATCAGAGTAATCAATGATGATAAAATGATCAAAGCAGTCAGTGATAATGAGATGATCAAGCGATGAGTGACAATAGAATGATCAAGAAATCGGTGATAATGAAGTGATCTTAGCGATCAATGATAATGAAGTGATCAAGAAATCGATGATAATAAAATGATCAGAGCAATCAATGATAATGAAATGATCAAGAAATCGATGATAATAAAATGATCAGAGCAATCAATGATAATGAAATGATCAAGAAATCAATGAAAGTGAAATGATCAGAGCAATCAATGATAGTGGAATGATTAAAGCAATCAGTGATAATAAAATGATCAGAGCAATCAATGATAGTGGAATGATTAAAGCAATCAGTGATAATGAAATGATCAGAGCAATCAGTGATGATGAAATGATCAAGAAATCGATGAAAGTGAAATGATCACAGCAATCAATGATAATGGAATGATTAAAGCAATCAGTGATAATTAAATGATCAGAGCAATCAGTGACGATGGAATGATCAAGAAATCGATGATAACAAAATGATCAGAGTAATCAATGATGATAAAATGATCAAAGCAGTCAGTGATAATGAGATGATCAAGCGATGAGTGACAATAGAATGATCAAGAAATCGGTGATAATGAAGTGATCTTAGCGATCAATGATAATGAAGTGATCAAGGCATCAAAGCAATCAATGATGATGAAATGATCAAGAAATGAGTGATAACGAAATGATCACAGCGATAAGTGATGATGAAACGATCAAGAAATCAATGATAATCAAATAATCAGAGCAATCAGTGGTAATGAAATGATCAGAGTGATCAGTGATAATAAGATGATCAATGGTCAAGCAAACAGTGATAATAAAGTGATCAAAGCACTCAGTGATAATGAAGTGATCAAGGCAGTCAATGATAATGAAATAATCAGAGCAAATGAGATGATCATGCAACCAGTGATAATAAAATGATCAGAGCGATCAGTGATAATGAAATGATCAATGGTCAAACAAATAGTGATAATGAAGTGATCAAAGCAATCACTTCAATTCAATCATTCAATTTCTATTTAAGTTTTAATCAAAGTATACAAATATGTTTTATCGTTTTTTGATTTCCTTCGAATTAAATTCAATAATAAATTTTGTAAATTTAATAACAAATTTTTAATCAAAATTCGTTCTATAAAAATATATGTATAACTTTTTGTGAAATTTTTGTAAATATTGAAAAAAAAAAATAAATTATATACAATTTTTTTTATAAGTTTATTAATTTTCATGCACTCAACTTTTTTCATATTTTATAATTAGTTGAATTTTAATAATAATAATTATTATTTTTTAACCATTATATTTAATTCTAAATTCAATCTTATAATGACAAATATTTTGTGATATTATTTACAAAAAAAAGAAAAAATTGACAATAAATATTTATGGAATAATAGTTTATCAATTAAATTTCATATTTTATAAATTTAAAATTTAAAATAAATTACTATAATGTTTGTTTTAATAGCTTTTGTAACTTAAAAATAATCCATTTCATTTTGTTTTTCTCCCAGTAATTAAATTAAACTTTATTTTATTCAAAAAAAAAAAATAATTTAAAATTGAAACATATTTTGTTTACTTCTTCTCTATAATCACAAAAGTTAAAGAAATATTTTTATGATTATTAAAATAATTTCTCAAAAAATTATTATAATAAAAAATTATTAAAATAATTTTTCAATAATTTATTATTCAACCGTAAAAAGAAAAGATACAACAACAAAAGAAAAAAAAAAACTAATAAATTATTTAAAAATAAAAAAAAATAGAATTTTTTTTTTTTTTGAAATTACTCGAATAGTTGTTGAATAAAACTGTAAATTTTGATAAAAAATAATTTTCCCTAAATTTTGATAAAAAAAATTTTTCCGCTTTTTTTTTTTTTAATTTAAATTCATTTTCGCATTTGATTTTTTTGCTTTTCAATTTAATTTTTCAAACGAAAGAAAAAAGCAAATCAATTTGCGCTAATTTATGATTGATAAACTGAACTTTCAATAACTAATTGTCGTAAAAATTGAAATGAAGCAAAAAAAAAAAAAAAAAATGGTGAAAAATTTTTTCAATTATAATTTCCAATTTTTATTTTAGTACCATAAACTTTTCAAACTAACAAAATGAAGCAAAAAAATAAAATTTTCTTTGATTAATATATTATCGTTAAAAATAATAAATTATCATCGTTAAAAATAATAAATTATGGATGTTTGATATGAATTAATTAAATTAACTAAAATATTTTTTACATTTATTTAAATTTAATTTCATATTTTGAAGTAGCATTTCCCATTTAACTAATTATCATTAAAATTGAAATGAAATAAAAAAAAAATTGTTGAAAAAATTTTAAATTATAATTTCTAATTTATATTTCAGTACCATAAAATTTTAAAAACTAACAAAATGAAGCAAAAAAATAAAATTTCCTTTAATTAATATTAATTTATCATTATTAAAAATAATAAATTATGGATGTTTGATATGAAATTTATTAAATTAATAAAAAATGCATTCACATTTATTTAAATTTAGTTTCATATTTTTAAAATGTTTTTACATTTAAATTTCATTTCATTTAATTGATCAATAAGCATTCGAGAATTATGCTAAACAAAAATTCAATATAATTTTGCAAATTGATTTTTTGAATTTTTTTTTTTTTGAATTTTTAAATTGATATGATTTTCACTTTTCATCATGTAAGTAATCAATTATTTACAAAAAAAAATACTAATTATTCAATTTTGAATGAAACAAAATATAATTTCACATTTTGAATGAAAAAAAAAAAAAGAAAAAAAGGATAAAGTTTAATGATATATTAAAAAATAAAGTATTTAAAAAAATATATTAAATACTAAAATGAAGTATTGAAAAAATATATTAAATATTAAAATAAAGTTTTAAAAAAATATTAAATATTAAAATAAAAAATATTTAAAAAATTACGATAGTACTTTAAAAGTAAAAAGTTTAGTGCAAAATATAAAAGTGTCGTTTTTTGTTTTTTTCAAAAAAAAATTTTATTAATTATTAAAATTTAAATTTTGTTTTTTTTTTTTTGCAAAAAATTTACCCAATTTTAACCTTTATTAATATTTAATAATTTTTTTTGATAAATGAATCAAACTTCATTGTAAATATGAACTAATCAAATTTAAATATAGCTTTAATTATATAATTAATTTAGCAGATGTATTATCTACAAAAAATAAATTTAAATTTAATTAAAAAAATCAAATTGAATTTATATTTAATTTAATTTAAATAAATTTAATTTAAAAAAACAAAAACAAAAAGAGAGAGAGAAGTCTTACCAAGCCGATATTCCTTAGATGACGTTGCATATGCGGCATTGCAAAATATTGGCGCAAATGTACATCGTACAATGGATTATAGTTATCCAATAAATCGTCATTCATTGTAATAGTGGAAGTCATATATGAATAATTGATGCTCAGTTAAATTTTTTAGCAGTAATTATCAGAATTAATAAATATGTAAAAATGTAAATTTTATTTCCAAAAAAAAAAAATTTTTTCCCTGATCAATCGATCAATCAATCAATCAATCAATAAATCGATGAATCAATTTGATAAATCAAATTGATTTATTCTTCTGTTTTCTTTTTGTTGTTCAAAATGAGTGTTTATTTTTTTGGGAATGTAATTTGATTTAACTATTTCGATAGAATATGATGAAAATGTTTGTTTGTTTACAACATAAAAAAGTAAACAATAAATTTTAGTAATAAATAAATTTTTAATATTGCATTAAATGTGAAAAAAATAATAAAAGATATTAATATCAATTATTTCCAAAAGTATAATATTAATTAATTTCCAATTTAATTTTTTTTTCCTCCCTTTTTTTCTTCTCTTTTATTTATTTATTTTTTTGTTTGTTTGCAGATAATATTGAAAAAATTTTTTCAACAATTAACAAATTTGATAATTGTTTGATACAGTAAAGTAATTATGAATCCTGAAAATAAAATAATTTTTAAATTTAATCATTAAAAATTATTTATAATATACAATCGTAAATACATTTTTTTGAAAAATTTATTATTGTAATATTTTTTTTTTTTTAAATGAAAAATAAAAATATAAACAAAAAAAAAAAAGAAAAGAAAAATATTTTTTTCATATGTAATTAAATAATGCAAAAATAATTAGTAATTGAATTTGAATAATTAAATAAAGCAAAAATAATTAGTAATTGAATTTGAATAATTAAATAAAGCAAAAATAATTGGTAATTGAATTTGAATAATTAAGTAAAGCAAAAATAATTAGCAATTGAATTTGAAAAATTAAATAAAGCAAAAAAAATTAGTAATTGAACTTGAATAATTAAACAATGCAAAAATAATCGGTGATTGAATTTGAATAATTAAATAATGCAAAAATAATCGGTGATTGAATTTGAATAATTAAATAAAGCAAAAATAATTAGTAATTGAACTTGAATAATTAAATAATGCAAAAATAATTACTATTTAAATTTGAATTAAATTATGACAGTTGACAAAAAACAAAAACAAAAACAAAAAAAAAGAGAAAATAATCGATTCGTTGCATAAAATTGAATTTTTCTAACAAATCATATGTCAATTATTTATCTATCAAAATCAAATACTTCAAATATATCCAAACACATACATACATACACGCACAGACAGACACGTCACATACAGACACAGACATGGGGACACATCAAAAACTTCAAGTATATCCAAACACATACATACATACACGCACAGACAGACACGTCACATACAGACACAGACATGGGGACACATCAAAAACTTCAAGTATATCCAAACACATACATACATACACGCACAGACAGACACGTCACATACAGACACAGACATGGGGACACATCAAAAACTTCAAGTATATCCAAACACATACATACATACACGCACAGACAGACACGTCACATACAGACACAGACATGGGACACATCAAAAACTTCAAGTATATCCAAACACATACATACATACACGCACAGACAGACACGTCACATACAGACACAGACATGGGGACACATCAAAAACTTCAAGTATATCCAAACACATACATACATACACGCACAGACAGACACGTCACATGCAGACACAGACATGGGGACACATCAAATACTTCAAATATATCCAAACACATACATACATACACGCACAGACAGACACGTCACATACAGACACAAACATGGGGACACATCAAAAACTTCAAGTATATCCAAACACATACATACATACACGCACAGACAGACACGTCACATACAGACACAGACATGGGGACACATCAAAAACTTCAAGTATATCCAAACACATACATACATACACGCACAGACAGACACGTCACATGCAGACACAGACATGGAGACACAGACAAACACTAAGTGTCACATCATGATGCATCGTGTCACATCCTATGTGACAGCAAAAAAGTTTTCCTCTTCTGTACTTTGTCATTGTTTATTTCATATTTTACAAATTGTTACATTTGAGAAAAATAAAATTAGCAAAAAAAAAAAAAATTGAAATAAAAATTAGAACATAACAATAAATATAAAAATAAAAAGGTCATTATTTAAAAATTTAATAAAAAAAATGATGCAAAAATTTTGATTTCTCTTTTTTTTTTTAAAAAAAAAACTAAAATCAAAATTAAAAAAATTCATAATTTAAATAATTCATTTGTTCTGTTTTTTAATTACACTTAAAATTCAAAAGTCGTATAGAATTCATTTTTTTAATTACACTTAAAAATTTATAATTTAAATAATTCATTTGTCTGGTTTTTTAATTACACTTAAAATTCATATCAAATTTATATTATAATTCAAAAGTCATATAGAATTCATTTTTTTAATTACACTTAGAAATTCGTAATTTACATAATTCACTCAAAATTCATATAAAATTCATATTCAATTAATAATGAAAATAGATTTAATGATAAAAAAATGATTTATTTAAAAAAATAAAAAAAAAAAATGACTTATTTAAATTAATAAAATTAAATTCTTCCCAGTTTCTCTCATTTTCATTTTCTTTTCAATTTATTTCTCATTTTTTTATGACAAATAAAATTCTCTCATTCTGATAATATTTTTCTTTTTCTTTTGCATTTTCTTATCATAATTTATCAATTATACCTATCTGATAACGTCTGCTATGAAAAGAAATAAACCGAAAATTTGGGTGATAACTTAAATTCAAAATAAAATTAATTAAATGAAATAATTTAAATAATCATTTAAATATTTTAAATAGACAACAAATTCAATTCGATATTATTTTTTTTTTTTTTTTGTATTAAATTTTTATTTTTGCAATATATTTCGCATACTGAAATGTAATACTTTTATTTGAATTATATATAAATAAATATAATTTTTTTTTTTTTTTTTTTTTTTTTTTTGTTTTTTGAATTTATTGGAAAAGAAATGAGAAAAATTATTTTTGAAATGATAAATTACATCATTTTAATTTCTTTCTATCTTATTGACATTTTTGAATTTCTTTTTTTTTTTTTTTTTTCTTCTTCTTCCATTTGTTTACTTTTATTTGTTTCTATTAATAAAACAAAATTTTAAAGCAGTTTAAATAATAAATTTTGAAAATATTGAACAGTCAATTATAACCAAAATACTGCAAGATTGAAAAAATAAAAAGTAAAATTTATTTTGAAATAGAAAATAAAAAAAATTTTTGTTAAAATTTTTCTCGACGAAAAAATAAAAAAGAAAACAGAAAATTATTAACAAAATTAACAGTTAGAAAGCTGGAAAAATTGCTTAAAGTTATTAATAAAATTCCAAAATTATATTAAATTTATTGAAATTAAAAAATTAATATAAAAATATCATTTCTCCATTTATTTGTTATTTTATGACAGTTATAAATTTTACTGGAATTTTTTTAAACTAAATTTTAGTTAAAAATTATTTTGCATTGATTTGAATTTTATTCAATATTTGTAAAAAATTAATATTTAATTAAAAAAAATTGAATCAAAATTTAACAATTGAGAGTATCAAATTGATTGTAATCGACCTTTTAACTTAAGTTTTGAAAAATAATTGACCTTTTAACTTAAGTTTTGAAAAAAAAATTTTTTTAAATTAATTTTAATTAAAAATTATTTTGCACTGATTTGAATTTTTCAACATTAAATTAAAAAAATTGAATCAAAAATTCAAACAAATGAGTGTATCAAATTGATAACTGATGAATACATGTATGAAGTAGTTGACCTTTTAATTTAAATTTTTTTTTTTAAAAAAAAAAAAAAAAGTAAAATTAGATCAAGGAAGTTCAGAAAGGGAAAAAAAATAAATAAATTGAAATGAATGTAATGTAACAATGTTAAACGGAAGTAATAAAAAAAAAGCAAAAAAAAAAAAAATTAATTAGTGAAAAAATTAATTTTGAACTTTTAATAATTTTTTAACATTTGAATTAATTCAAAGAATTTACTTAAAAATACAAACTTTTCAAACTAAAAAATTAAATGAACTTATTAGCAAAAAAAAAAAAAAAAAAAAAAATTTAAAAAAAAAGAAAATATGAAAAATGATACATGTCTGCTTCATAGTTGACGTTAGCTTTTCAATCAATGATTCATAGTTTTCGAAATTTGAAACTAAAAAATTTTTAAATTCCAACAAGAAAGAACATTTATTGTTATAAAAATTAGCAATTTTTTGTTTTGTTAAAAAGTTTTTTTTAAAAAAAAAATTTTTTTAAAAAAATGGAAAATTAGTAATTTTTTCATAAAAACAAATAATATTACAAGAAAATATATATATATGCAATTATTATTATCTTTATTAAACTTAATGAAAATAACAATTATTAATGAATTAAATTTATGAATTAAATTTATTTTTTGTCGAAAGTTTTTAAAAATTGAAATAATTGTATAATTTGTTAAGAAAGTAAAGAAAAGAAAAGAAAAGAAGAAAACTTTGTTATTGAAATAATTAGTTTTGAATATTTTCAAGACTTATTATTTTGTTATGTAAATTTTTTTTTTAATTTTTTAATTTATATTTTTTTAAAAAAAAATTTACACTGACATTCAATTTGCTTTATCAAGAAGCTATTAGTTAAAAGTTAGTTCAAAAATTTTCATCAATTCGATATAAATCTATTTATCACTCAAATTGTAGCGAACATTTCAAGATGTGATAATTGATATATTTTATTATAGATATTATTATTTTTGATTGGAATATTTATATTTTAATTCAACAGGTGGTTTTTTTTTTTTCAAATATCAATGATTAGTTTATAAATAATTGAAAATTACTTTATGATAAGGTTAACAAATAATTGGAATAAGTAATCATAGGTAAAAGTAAACGTTAAAGCATGCTTATATTTTAATTCAACAGGTGGTTTTTTTTTAATATCAATGATTGG